GCATTCTTCATCCTGGTAGGACACGGGATCAGTCACAGTCACATCGCACAGCCACACCTCTCCCGTCAGGGGATGGCGGATGGTGACATCCGCCTTTAGGTTCGCAACGAAAGAGTAGATGTACGTCTCTTTGTGCACTGTGAAGCCCGCCTGTGCCCCGATGATTGCAATCTCGTCTCTAAGGGCATGGTGCGTAGCTGTCCTCCCCTTCCCCTTCTCACAACGCAGGAGGTGGTTGGGGAGGCGGTCATCAGGGAACGTGGTGCAGTACCGGCAGTTGCAGCGCCTAGGCACCGGGAGGGGGAGGCCTAGGCGGAAGGCGGCTGCAGTAGAGATTTGTGAGGGCCCCATCCGAAGCGAGGGGATGAGGGGGATCGCCAGCAGCCAGTCCCCTGCTCCCGGGCCCAGCACTGATTGCATCCGCTGCGCGTGGCCAGAGAGGGGGTTGGGGCGCATCCGCCTCGCCTCGTTCATCACCCGCAGGAAGCGGCGGGTGTGAGCCGCCAGCGCCAGGGACTGCTGCAGCTTCAGGCCCTTGGGCTCCGCTCTCCCTGCCTGGAGGGCCCTTGGGCTCCGCTCTCCCTGCCTGGAGGGCCCTTGGGCTCCGCTCTCCCTGCCTGGAGGGCCCTTGGGCTCCGCTCTCCCTGCCTGGAGGGCCCTTGGGCTCCGCTCTCCCTGCCTGGAGGGCCCTTGGGCTCCGCTCTCCCTGCCTGGAGGGCCCTTGGGCTCCGCTCTCCCTGCCTGGAGGGCCCTTGGGCTCCGCTCTCCCTGCCTGGAGGGCCCTTGGGCTCCGCTCTCCCTGCCTGGAGGGCCCTTGGGCTCCGCTCTCCCTGCCTGGAGGGCCCTTGGGCTCCGCTCTCCCTGCCTGGAGGGCCCTTGGGCTCCGCTCTCCCTGCCTGGAGGGCCTCGAGTGCCTCGGGGGGGAGGGCCGCTTCAGCAGCTGCAAGGCGTGCTGCCAGGGCGTGGGTGGAGCCGTGGGCAGAGTCCAGGAGGGATAGGAGCTCGGCCACCCCTGGGTGCAGCGAATCAGTCAGGGAGTTCAGGAGGTGGGCCGTGCTAATCACAGACGCGAGGTACGCGTAGCTCCCTTCAACAGCAGGGTGGGTGATGCCAAGCCCACCCAGTGTTATGGGCAGCGCCGCCTGCGGCCAGATCCGCCGCCTCTCTCTGTTGCTCCTCGGGGCCATGATATGAGCCGAGTCCAAGAAGGTAAGTAATAACTGCTCCCCCCATGCCGACCATTCAGCGTCCGGGAGCACCTCCAGCGGGGTGGTCCTTGCCAGAAAGGAGGCGCGGCGGCTGACGCAGCGGGTGAGGAGGAGGCTGAGTTGGGGGTCCATTAAGGGTAGGAGGGGCAGTGGTTTCACTGCTGCTGCTAGCCGCTCTCTCACCGTGCTTGCGCAGCCCTGGGGAGTGCCGATGGGGCTGCGAAGGACATGCAGCCCTTCATCCGAGATAGTAATGCCAGGAGGTGCGGAGGAAGGTCAACCGCGGAGGCTGACCAGACCGCGCACTTGGATGGGTTGTGAGCCAGGCCCAGGGATGCCAGAGCGGACGTAAGGTGGTTGAAGGCCGCGGTGCAGGCCGCGGCGTCGCCGAGAAGGGTAATGTCATCGGCATAGGCGAGCAGGACCACCTGCGGGTGCGCCGCTGCTGTGTCCGTGAGGCAGGGGTGGATACTCGCCGCGAAAAGGAGTGGTCCGAGCGGATCCCCTTGGCGCACTCCTCTGGCGCTCTGCAGTGGGGCTGCGCCAAAGTCGTTGTCGAGGAGTAGCGAAGATGGGATGCCGTACGAGAGGCGAACCAGAGGGATGAGGTCTCCCAGCGCCTCATTCCGTAGTCCCTCGAAAACCGCTCTCCGTTCCACCGCATTGAAGGCGTTTGCAGGGTCGATTTGCAGTGCCACAGCTTCCGGGTGTACCTCCAGGTACGTGCGAGCTGTGTGGATTGCAGCTTCGATCCCCCCCGCTATCGCCACCCCGAACTGCAGGGGTGCGAAGTGTCCTCGAGCGGCGGGAGCTGTCAGAAAAAGGGCCGCCTTAGCGACTATGCAGAAGAGGCACTCTCCTACCGCTATTGGCCTCGTCCCGCCCTGGGGCTTTGTGAAGGCTAGGAGGCATGAGAGCCTGGGAGCAGCAGTCACATGTCATGGTAGCACCCTCACTTTCATAATCAAGAGCATATCGCTGGTAACACTCAAAGTCTCATGGATTAGAGCTCGAGAGAAGCACTAACGAGAGCACCACTCACAGTGCGCGCAGCTGTGTGAGGCTGCTCCATGAGTCGGGCACGGAACCGCTGAAATGGTTGTCTGCCAGCCACCTGAACGTATGGGAAATGAGATCACGAAATGGACGGAGACTTGGAAATGCGAGGAAATTATGTTCACCGTTTTCAAGGAAATGAGTTGGTTACCAAAGCAGCACACAAGGTCTGACAGTATGGGGGTTAGCTTGTTCCATACAGACTGTGCTTTGCTTTTCAGTCACCCATAACCTTCTCATCATAGCATGATCGAGACATGTGGTATTCCTGAGTATACTGACTTATGTAAGAGTACACGTCAACGAGCCACATGCATGGATCGGAAGCATGCACGCATCCGAACGTTAGATGAGGGTGAGTGAAGTATAGGAGATGATATCACGAACCCCACAAGTGGAATACAGCAGGCACTCACATTTGTGTCAGGTTGGTGAGGCGACTGATGGTGGCTGGGAGAGACCCTGAAAACTGGCAGCTACTCAAATCGCTGAGAGGAGAGGGAAAGGAAGATCCAGGGGACTCAAGTATTTTGGAATTAAATTCACGCTTTGAAAAACTGATTTACACTACGATGTACTGTTATCTGTGGCTGTTCTATGCAAACGGTTGTTTTATAACTCTGATGTCCAACTGCTGCATGGAAACTGCAATCTTGGTGTTTTTATCTTTATCTTCTACATGCGACCTATTTCACGGTGACTTTTACGTGGAACTGCTACACAGAATCTTCTAGGCACTGACAATTCATGGCTGATTGGATTTGGAAGCAAGCGGCACACGTGTTTCAACATGAGCACTCAAGGACTAGAATTGTACACAAGCTGTCGGATTACCTGCTTCCTCCTCTCCTTGCTCCCTGTCCCAAGATTACAGTGCGCTCAGCCCTGCCCTTACAGTACAGGCCTCATTCACCCATCTACAACTACTCTTACAACAATTATACGCTGGGCTTCCACACCCACTTGAGCAAATTTTACAGCAGTATAGTTAGTATACTAGGATTCTTGTAACAACACACACGTGTATGATACTGAATTGAACAGCCCCCCTGTACCCCTTACCTATTGGCAAGTGCGTCAACTTTGAGTGATCAATATGGTGGAGAAGAGTTTCTCTCGCTTACAAGAACTGAAGGCTGACGAGCCTGCCAATGCTACAGGCCAGTGGTCCTGTGAACCCATTGGAGTTCAAATCGCTGCACCACCAATTTAAAAGGAGGGAGGTTGGCCTTTGAAAAATTGAGAGTGCATGAGACACAAGATAAGATAGAGTTAGAGGTATAAATATTTGTAGTGAAGTATAAGACAGAGGTGCTCTTGAACATTGTGAAAGACAGTGGAGGGAAAGGGGTTCGTTGTCCCACTGTTCTCTGCTCTGCTCGGGGTTCGTTGTCCCACTGTTCTCTGCTCTGCTCGGGGTTCGTTGTCCCACTGTTCTCTGCTCTGCTCGGGGTTCGTTGTCCCACTGTTCTCTGCTCTGCTCGGGGTTCGTTGTCCCACTGTTCTCTGCTCTGCTCGGGGTTCGTTGTCCCACTGTTCTCTGCTCTGCTCGGGGTTCGTTGTCCCACTGTTCTCTGCTCTGCTCGGGGTTCGTTGTCCCACTGTTCTCTGCTCTGCTCGGGGTTCGTTGTCCCACTGTTCTCTGCTCTGCTCGGGGTTCGTTGTCCCACTGTTCTCTGCTCTGTGTCCACAGCGTGTGTGCACAGCGTGTGTGCAACAGGGAGGTTGAGGGTGAAGGGGCGGCACTGACAGTTTGGTGAGCCTGGTGAGGTTGTAGATCGAGGTGGGGATGGTGCCATTCATGTCGTTGTTCTTCAGATCCCTGCAGCCAACGCAGAAAGCAAAGTAAAGGACAGTAATTGGGTACCGTGCAGAGGTCAGGAAGATTTAGCAGTGCAGAGGGCAGCAAGATGCAGCAGTAAAGAGGGCAGCAAGGGGAGGGAATGTAAAGGGAAGCATGTGGTTGTGCGTCCACGAGAAGGCATGCGATTAAGAAGGGATGTACATTGATCTGCAAGCAACGGCATGCAAAAAATGGTTTTCATTATCCACAGGGCAACGAGGCTCACTCAGGGCAACGAGGCACTCACAGAGCAACGAGTTTGGTGAGTTCTCCAAGTAAGGAGGGGATGGTGCCGTTGAGCTGGTTGTCTCGCAACCACCTGATGGGTGGGACTCAGGGAACAGGTGTGTGTGGGCACATGTCATGTCGTGATAGGTGCAATGGATGGTCGTATGAGTGCATGAATGAACTTGCACTTGTGCATGGGGGTGTAGGTACTTGATCTGAAATTGTTTAACAAGGAACACACTAGAGCTGAAGAGGACTCTTTAATTAACAACAATGGGTTGGAAACGGTAGGAGGGAAATCGGGGACGATGCTCTACGAGATTAGCTGGAACCTTTTCATTGCTTTGGAGATTCTGGGTTTAGCTGAGGCTGGGATGTGCGCAAACACCCACACTTCACATAATTAGCACTTAACGAAACAAGTACAAGTATGTACCTGGGGAATCATTCCCTTACAGCTCTGTGATGCAATTTTTAAGTTGTCTCAGTTATCGTCCGTGCGCATAGGGCGAACATGTGCAGGCTGTGCACAGTGGCAGCATGTCATATGTACCTTACAAGGCTAGTGAGGCTGTGCAGGTTGTGTACTGTGAAAACATGTGCTTGTACCTGGGATCCTGTTTATACTTGGGAGTATATTTCTACCTTAAAGGGGGAGCCTGGGCTTACAGCTCTGTGAGGTTGTGCAGGTTCGCCAAGGAGACCGGCACAGTGCCGCTGAGCTGGTTGTAACTCAGCTCCCTGCCGTGACGGGCGCATCCAGAGGGCAAGGCACAGAATGGGGAACACACATAATGGGGAACACACATAATGGGGAACACACATAATGGGGAACACACATAATGGGGAACACACATAATGGGGAACACACATAATGGGGAACACACATAATGGGGAACACACATAATGTGCAAAACACAAGTAACAAGCAGCAACGCACACAGAGCTAGCATGGAAAAACAACAGGCGATATTGCAAAAGCTGGTGGGAGCAAACCCCGACGCGTTTAGAGACACTTTGTTGTATGTCAGCGTGCTGTCAGCAGGCCACTTCACACCACACACACGACTCACGTTTGCTGCAGGTGCGAGAGAGTGCGTAAGCTGGTGGGGATGGACCCGGCGAAACAATACATTAGTTACGTCAGCGTGCTGTCTGCACACGAGACTCACAGTCGCTGCAGGTGGGAAAGAGTGCTGAGGCTGGTGGGTATGGACCCTGTGAAACCATTGGTGCGCATCCCCCTGCATGCGTTGTAGCAGAGAGAGGCGTGTCATGGGGGCAAACAGTTCAGGCACGGCAAGATGGGCAGCGCAAGACGGGCAGGGCAATAGGGGCCTTAGAATGGTGGCTGGAATAGCGCAAGGAAGGGTGTGGCAAGGAAGGGTGTGGCAAGGTGGTTCTCCATGTCCATACATCCCGTCGTCCATGAAACAGGACGATAAACACAAGGTTCATCCCATTAAAGGTATACATCCCATTCTTCACCTCTAATGAACGGTTCCCCTCCTTACATCTCTGCTATGGAGGTGCCAAGGTTCCCTTCCGTTTTGTTACTTCCTGTCCGTACATGTTTTTGATGGCTGAATGTGTTTCAGGCTCCTCAGAAGTGGAAGCAAGCGAGTGGCCAACGTGTGCTAGCTAATTGTATGTCTTTTGAGGCCGCTCAAAAGTGCTAGCCAGTTGCGTGTTCTCCTTACATCTTCCTGAGCGCTGTGAGCTCGGACAGGAAGTCTGGCAAGTCTGCGTTCATACTGTTGAATGCCACAGAGCTGCACGAGGAGAGGGTGGTAGGGCAGAAGGAAATATGCGGGGTCATCTGTATGCATAGTGATGTGGGTGGAGGAACAGGTGCAGGAAACCGTCAAAGAGGAGAGGAAGACAGCAGAAGGGGCAAAAGGGGATGTCATTCTCAGTGATTATAATCAAAAGCAAACTCGCTGTGCTGGGCGTTGGAGCAAAGCACTCACAGTAAGTGAGTTTGGAGGCCAGGCCAGCAGTGTGCATAACATGCTGCAGCGCTGAGTGACTCAAAAATCATCCTGCTTGATCTAGAGCGGCTATTATCAGAGACTACAAATGGACGCCAACAGCAAATGGCACGTGGGAGGGAGAGTAAGAGCTAGGCTTATAAACATACAGCGCGTGTTCCTTCAGCATGTTACAGGGGGGAGATAAAGGCTCATCTTAAATTCTCACAGAAACTCGAGCTTTTTAAGCTTCGTAATGGTCTTGGGAATGCTTCCACTGATCTTATTGCCAGCCAGTCTCCTGCACAGGAGGAGCAGAGGCCAGCAGTGCAAGAGTGAGTGCTCCCAGGTATGTGAGATTTAACGGAATGTCAGCCAACCGTGCTTGTGGTTCTCAACTCAAAATCAATCAACACATGGCAGTGGGTTGTGGTTCTCAACTGAACATAATCTACGCATAGCAGTGGGTTCGAATACTCACAGGTACGTGTAGTTGAGGACGGTGTGTGTGGATGGTAACATGTGCTAGTGGCTAAAGAGGCCTTGTGTGGAAGCTCACAGGTACGTGAGGTTGTGGAGGGGGGTGTGTGTGGACGGTATTTTACATCGATGACCTTTTAAAGAAATTAGATAGGAAGACTGGTTTGATTAGAAATAACACGAACAAAACATGTTGTCAGTGTAGGCTCAATAGAAGCGAAATTATAGCAATAATCATAGGATGAAAATCAATGTGGTAGTGGTTAAAGAGGTCTTGTGTGTGCGTTCACAGGTATCTGAGGTTGAGGAGGTTGCCAATGCTGGCGGGGATGGATCCGTTAATAGCCGTGTCGGCATCAAATGTCGGGTTCCACCCGACATCCCTGCAATGACATTATGACAGTGAAGGGGCGTGATAGGGGCATCACAGGATGGGGGCGCGATTGAGGGATCAACAAGAAGAGTGGCAGAGGGAGAGACAGAGAAACACCACCAGGCTTATGAGTCTTGTGTAACCAGGATCATATCAATAGACGGATCATTTGAGAAGCACCACCAGGCACCGATCCAAGTATGTTACTATACAGGTTTTACCCACACTCTGGCAGTGGCATTGAGATGCATGGTGGGTGGGGGAGATACATGAGAAGAGACCAATAACATGGATGAAAAGGAGGCACGATATGGTGACCCAAAGGGAGCACAGGAAAATGCATGGGATGCCATGGCAGGCATGACATGGTATGGCATGGCATGGCATGGCATGGCATTGTATGGGATGACACAGCATGGCATGGCAAGACAGGGACTGACTCACTCACATGTATTCCAGGTTAGTGAGTGCCCCTATGGTTTCTCCAATGGGACCCCAGAACTTGTTGTCACTCATGCCACTGTCACATGCACGCACCAACCAACCCCACGGGAACAACATGAGGCTTTGATGTGCCAAGGAATCATGAAAGAAGTGAGCTGTGTGAAGAGGTGGGAACAGCACAAGGCTGTGGTGGAGAGAAACACACAAGGTGGCGCGTGTTACATCTCAGCACCTCGCGAATGGCCACCCACTACCAAAAAGCGTCTCACTAACTGAAAAAACTACTCACGCTGAATGTCTATACCTTGTACAAAGGTAGCGGCAGTTAGAGCTTGATGCAAGAAAAGTGCACCTTCACCGTTGCGCTAGTATTTGACTAGTAGTCGCCACCATTTGTCACATGCACGTGTCAGAGTTGTATGGATTATGCCAGACTTACAGCCACGTGAGTTTAGTGAGTGTGCTTATATACGATGGAAAGGAGCAGTTCATGCTGTTGAAGTGGACGTCACTGCAGGCAATCAAGAACAAGAACATGGGAAACCCAGCACGAATCATGATTGCAACATTGGTATGATGGTAGCTATCAGCCAGCACTGTACAAAGGGTCACGAAACTGCACTGTACAAAGGGTCATCAAACTGTACTGCACCTGCACTGAAAAAACTGTTTGTGCTTGATAAAACCAACGAAAAGAAACCCATATCAGGTCAGTCTCTAGCAATCCAAAACGCTAGTCAATAGTAGATGAGGTGAAAGCTGATGTTATGGAAACAAGAATACAAGCAAACGGAGGGACGAGTTGAGATGGAAGATCAGGCGCTTCCATGAATGGCCAATTCTTAGGGCGCCTCAAAACAAGAGAAAGAGATTTGCCTCCATGCATGATTCCCAAGGCATTGTGAGTAAGGGGGACAAACGGAATGTGGGCCACAGCAGCATTTGAGCAGAAGGATAAATGAGTTAGTGTTAGCCCTCGATACCTTTTGTACTTGTACTTTTATAGCCTAGTTTAGTGTAATTTGCATCTTGTGTTTGGTTGGGTGTACCTAAATGTGATCTGCAAGAAATCTCCAACACACCAATTGGAGATTGCCTTGGGATTACCCCAAATCCTAGGGATTGCCCCCGATTCCCTCCCCATCCATTCCTAGCTCATTCTGGATGTACTAAAGGAGCTTCAAGCTCCAGTTCTGACAAAACGAAACAGGGGGGAGAATGACTGACAGAGGTGAGGTGACTGACAGAGCAACAAGGTTGGTGAGACTGCTGATGGCGGCAGGGAGAGTCCCGTTGATGAAGTTGATGGAGATGTTGCTGAGGAAAAAAGGGAGCGACGTGGTGTGGGGGCAAAGAGAAAGGAAGTGAGCTGTGGTGACATTTGAGTCGACTCAAAAAAGCTTCCTTCCAACCCAAAGATGCTTCCTTCGAGCCCAAACATGCTTCCTTCCAACCAGATTATGCATGTTTGTTTCCCTTCAGCATGCCCCACCTCAACATCCTACTCTGAACTGAACGTAAATCCTCCTAACAATACGCTTCCACTCACAGGTTGGTGAGGCTGATGAGATTGCTGATGCTGGCAGGCAGTGTCTGGTTCAGCTGGTTGTTAGCAACTTGCCTGTCAGAAAAGGACAAACATGGACCATTTCAAATAGTGGAATCAACCATTTTAGCTTGCACGATAGGGCTCAGAAAGCATAAGCTGAATTTTCGGAAATTCTTGCCTCATGCCTGCCTTGAGCCAACCGAGCCATGAAAGTCGATGCTATGCCACAAGAAATCCAATCTTATACCACGGCAGCACAAAGGAATCACCTCATAAATTTGGTGCCAGTCAGATGGGTTCGAGTCATTTACGCAAGTGCTTGAGTGCCTACAGGTGCTTGAGTGCCTACAGGTGCTTGAGTGCCGAGAGTCGGCTGAAGGAGTCTGGGAGCGACCCATTGAGGCCATTGAAGCTGACGTCACTGGTGGATGGAGAGGAGCAGCAAGAGAAGGCAAGGGAGATATTAGGTTCGTTGCACGAAACGAGAATTAGAAGCAGACCCTCGAAACATTAGGGCTTAGGGTCGACAAGGTAAACATTAGGTTCGACAAGGAAGACATTAGGTTCGACAAGGAAGACATTATCTTCGACAAGAAAAACATTAGGGTCTAAAGAGATGACTTTTGAGTCGACAAGAATCAGAGGTGGTACTGAGAGGGCTCTTGAAGCTGATGTGCATGGGGATCTTTGAAAGAGCGGCAACGAGAGACGACAGACAGAGGAAGAGGCTCGAAACGACCAGTAAGTAGGGGTGCATTGAACGAGATGCAGCGGATGCCACTAGTGAGCGATAGGAGAAGATAGAGGACATAAGGGATGCAAGAGGGTGTGTGTCTGTGATGGTTTGAAAAGGAGGGATTTGAAATGAGGGATATGAAAAGGAGATCCTCGAACGCCAGGGATGCGAACCACAGTGAGGAAATGTGTGGTGGAGCATGAGATATGTGTGGTGGAGCATGAGATATGTGTGGTGGAGCATGAGATATGTGTGGTGGAGCATGAGATATGTGTGGTGGAGCATGAGATATGTGTGGTGGAGCATGAGATATGTGTGGTGGAGCATGAGATATGTGTGGTGGAGCATGAGATATGTGTGGTGGAGCATGAGATATGCAAGCCCGGGTCTCACAACACGTTGCCGAGGTTTCAAAATCCTCAACATTGAGATACACTGGCATTATTAGGTTGAGGTCTCACAAGTAGAGGAGGTGGGCGAATTCACCAAAGGACGATGGAATGGATCCGTTGAGGAGATTCTTTGTAAAGTTACTGCATGGTGGGAAGAGGGAAGGGAGGAAAGCACGTGCATAGAACGTAAGGAAGGCATGCGGGCATGCGAATGGAAGTCATGGCGCATAGATTAGGAACTAGGCTACAGCTGTGGAACCACGTCATAACAGCTGAGCTTGGAGACGTCTCAGAACTCAACTTCTATCACATGACTAGACTTACAGTGTGTAGAGTTACATTCCCGTTAACACCAGTCCAGCACCAGATTGAAAATTAAGGTGGAAGCTCCTCACCCTTATGCAACAAGGAGAATAATTTCCGTGAGAATCAGTAATGTGCTTGGGGTGCGATAACAGACTGATGACTGGTTGGTGTGGTGTGGATGCGTACAGAGAGATGAGGTTGGTGAGGATTCCTAGAGAGTCGGGGATGGAGCCATTGATGGCGTTGCTGGCCAGATTGCTGAGGGTTTGGGCGTGGTGGAAGGTAGTGATGAGTATGGAAAGGAGTGAGAAGTAATGGGATGGCATGATGGGAGGGAATGATGAAAAGGGATGGGTGTGTGGGTGTTGACAAGGGATGGGTGTGTGGGTGATGCCAAGGTATGGGTGTGTGGGTGATGAGAAGGAATGGGTGTGTGGGTGATGAGAAAGGATGGGTGAGGGTGACGAGAAGGGATGGGTGTGTGGGTGATGACAAGGGATGGGTGCGTAAGAGGAGAGAATGAACAGTCCACACCACAACAAGAAGAGATAAGCTTGGTGGCTAGGAAGAAATGAGAATGAGGAGTGGAAGGAAGGGGCAGGAGGGTAACTGGTGCACCCAGACCTGCCCGCCGCACCCAGGCCCGGCGCAACTAGGCCCAGAACACCCGGGCCCGGGGCACCCAGGCCTGGCGCACCCAGGCCTGGCGCACCCAGGCCCGGAACACCCGGGTCCGGGGCACCTAAGGTGGACGCTCCCAAGTAAGAGGGGTATTGAGAAGCCGTTGTTGGTTACAGATAAGTGAGAGCTGTGAGTTGTTGCAGTCCCTGGGGCAGAGTGCCGTTGAGAGAGTTGGCGCTGAGATCACTGCAAGGCACGCAAGAGGGCGAGAGGTTGTGCAAGTTGTGTCACACGGAAGCAAGGAACGGAGTGATTGCACTACCACAACTCCTGGATTTGAGGGCACAAGGGAAGGGTGGGTGATGTGGGTGGTGGGTGTGTTGGGTTGGGTGTGCTGGAAATGGTGGGAGCACTGACAGGTGGGAGAGGAGGGAGCTTCTGCCGAGGCCCTCAGGCAGAGTGCCATTCAGCTGGTTTCTGCTCAGGTCACTGCAGGTGGAAGGGGGGGAGGATATAGGGGCTTGATTTGAGAGGGAGAGGACTGGAGAGACCGGCACCGGGTTGTGGACCACAGCGAAGTTCGGGGAGACGAAGTAGGTGACAGTGTGTGTGGTGAATAAGGGGGTACAAACGAAACAAGGGAATAGGCTGGTATTGTAATCAGGATGTTATTCTTGCCTGTGCTATTATTGATCTTGGATTGGAGTTTCTGAAGGTAGGTTTACACTTGCTAGATGTTTAAGATTCCATTTTACCAATCAATCAACAACATGAAGATTTACATGACACTCCAATCCCATATTTTTCCTCGAATTTCCCACATACAGCTGAGTTCCTACTGTGCAGCAGTCTTCCCGGTTCATTTGAACATAGCAGAAAGCATTGACTGGGTCATTGGAGCAGAAAGGGAAAGGGAAAATGTGAGGGCGCTCACAGGTGCTGCAGCTGCTGAAGTTTCCCCAGCCCTTGAGAGAGAGTGCCTTGGAAGGCATTGGCACTGAGGTCGCTGTGGAGGGGAGATCGGGGATGGATGAGGGATGGATGGGGGATGGATGGGGGATGGATGGGGGATGGATGGATGGCTTGAGGATGGATGGGGGATGGGGGATGGATGGGGGATGGGGGATGGATGGGGGATGGGGGATGGATGGGGGATGGGGGATGGATGGGGGATGGATGGGGGATGGGGGATGAATGGGGGATGGATGGGGGATGGGGGATGGATGGGGGATGGATGGGGGATGGGGGATGGATGGGGTATGGCGGATGGAGGTTGGGGATGGGGGGCATGACCGCCATGGGCAATGGGGGTGGGGCATGACCGTCATGACCCATGGGGTGTGGCCCGAGAAGAAGGGTGGACCGCAGGGAAGGGAATGGAGGGCGAGCGACTCTATTGAGACTGTTGATAAGGCTCATAGTCTTGGTCAAAAGAGCAAGACATGGGGATTCGAGCCTCCCAAATCCATCAGGAAGATATGCTCAAGGTGCAAACAGGCCGCACCACTAAAGAATGGCAAGGCATGTGTGCGGTGCTGGCCAATGGCGCGGATGGTATGCAGATGGCACGTGTGTGTGTGGTACTAGAAGGTGGCATAAGCGATGTGCCTTGCGTACAGATGGCAAGGGTGGTTTGCCTCACGTACAGGTGGGTGAGGAGGCTATATTTCCGCAGGCGGGGCAGCAAGCCATTCAGGGCGTTGGAGCTCATTTCACTGCCCACCCGCAGACACAAGAAATGGAGAATCCGGCTAAGTAGACGCTCTGTGTGAGTCTGATCAAGGGGTGCACGGAGTGAGACTCACAGGGTGTGCAGGCGAGTGAGACTCACAGGGTGTGCAGGCGAGTGAGATAGCTCAGCATGCCCGGAACCGTGCCGTTGAGAGAGCAGCTTGATAGGATGCTGTGCGCAGGAGGGGGGAGAGAAATAAGAGAAGGATATCGGGGAGAGAGGAGGGCAGACAGAGAGGAAGGGAGGCGGGAAGAGTAGAGGGTTGGATGACTGCCTTTCTGCCTCTGTCTGCCGTCTCAGGACTGCGTGACTTGTTTCTATCTTGTCTCATTGGAGTGCAAAGAGCTAAGAAGATTGGTTATACAGTATGGCTGCCTTTTGCCTCATCAGATGCCACGCCAAAGAACGCCACTCCACCAATGTGCTTGTGAGTGAGTGAGCTACAGTATGGCTGTAAATTACTCACCTTACTAGTACCTTCCATGCACCTTCCTCTCACTCTTAAACCGTAAACACACCGCAGACGCGCTTACAGGGTTGAGAGGCGAGTCAAGAGGCCGAGAGATGATGGGATGGAGGCTGACAAGCCGTTCTTGGACAAGTTGCTGTCATGTAGGATGTGGAGAGGGGCGGAGAGAGAGGGGTGATGGGGAGGAGGGATGGAGGATGAAATGCCATTCTTGGACAAGTTGCTGTCATGTACGCAGGGAGGAGAGGGGCGAAGAGGGGCGGAGAAGGTGGGGTGGTGGGGAGGGGGAATGGAGGATGAAATGTTCTTCATGGAAAGATTTCTTCAGTAACACGGGCAGAGAAGGTGGGGGGAGCGGAATGAGGAGAGGGGGGATGAGGGAGGTGGGGTGGAGGGGGGAGGGGTGGGGGGGCTTAGGAGGTGGACAGGATGGAAGCAAGGAAGATATGTTTCTGCACAATTACGAAGTGGAAGTGATTCGGCAGGGAAACAGAAAATTTGAGTCAGAAATGCAAAGATTTGTCAGTCTAATGAAATTATGGGTTGGTGTGGTGACAGACCAAATAGGGCTGACATGACAGGAGTATGCCGCTGCTGTCTGTCAGGATTCTCTCAGCTCAGAACACAAATGAAACGGTAGTGTGCAACCAGCTTCAAACCTTGACTGGTTCTTTCCTTCAGAGAAAATTACACCTCATGCTTTGACCACCTCGTACATCGACTCGAGTCTCGTCAGAAAGCCAAGGCTCCATGGGATGCTGCCAGTCAAGCTGTTGTTGCTCAGGTCACTGAATGTTAGGGAAACAAACAGGCACAGCAACGTGCATGGGGTTTTGAGATGAGTAGAGAAAGGAACAATAGATAGTGCCTCTGATAAGGTTCTCAATCTCACTGAAGCAGCAGCAGCTCAGCAGGAATGGCTTTGGCAGGTTGAAGCAAAGCTGCCTTCGCTGCTGCCAAAAGCCTCTTCGTCATGATCACGCATGCTGCACTCTCTTCCTGTCTTGACAAAATGTATCTTCAACGGCCATTCGATCAACCCTGCCAGCCGTGTGGGCATAGCAGATCATTCTTGAGCGGAGCTCGCAGTGGTGTGTGAGGATGCCTTTCAGAGTGAACAGGGTGAGAGAGTGGCGGCTTACAGGGCGGTGAGCGACTTGAGTCCGCCCAAAGAGGCTGGGACAGTTGAGTTGATGTGGTTGGACGAGAGATCTCTGTCGAAGCAGAAAAGGGAGGGAGGCAAGGGAAGCACTTGATTACTGAACAGAGGCACTTTGGGAAGCTTTGAAATGTCAAATGAAGAGAAAGTTAGCATGTCACTGAAGTTGCGCATCGAGGGAGGTCCCAGACGGAGGCTATGAACGAACGCCCTCCCCCTGTCACTAGGAATGCAGGTGAGAAGGCACTCGAAGCCACGGCCGCGATCTCGTAGGTGCCTCAACAATCGGCCAGGGTTCTGTGTCACAAGCATGCGCATTTTGAGTCTCACAGGTGTCGTGGTCTCACAGGTGTCGTGGTCTCGCAGGTGTCGTGGTCTCGCAGGTGTCGTGGTCTCGCAGGTGTCGTGGTCTCACAGGTGTCGTGGTCTCGCAGGTGTCGTGGTCTCCCAGGTGTCGTGGTCTCGCAGGTGTCGTGGTCTCGCAGGTGTCGTGGTCTCGCAGGTGTCGTGGTCTCCCAGGTGTCGTGGTCTCGCAGGTGTCGTGGTCTCGCAGGTGTCGTGGTCTCGCAGGTGTCGTGGTCTCACAGGTGTCGTGGTCTCGCAGGTGTCGTGGTCTCACAGGTGTCGTGGTCTCACAGGTGTCGTGGTCTCACAGGTGTCGTGGTCTCGCAGGTGTCGTGGTCTCGCAGGTGTCGTGGTCTCCCAGGTGTCGTGGTCTCGCAGGTGTCGTGGTCTCACAGGTGTCGTGGTCTCGCAGGTGTCGTGGTCTCACAGGTGTCGTGGTCTCGCAGGTGTCGTGGTCTCGCAGGTGTCGTGGTCTCCCAGGTGTCGTGGTCTCGCAGGTGTCGTGGTCTCGCAGGTGTCGTGGTCTCGCAGGTGTCGTGGTCTCGCAGGTGTCGTGGTCTCGCAGGTGTCGTGGTCTCGCAGGTGTCGTGGTCTCACAGGTGTCGTGGTCTCGCAGGTGTCGTGGTCTCCCAGGTGTCGTGGTCTCGCAGGTGTCGTGGTCTCGCAGGTGTCGTGGTCTCCCAGGTGTCGTGGTCTCGCAGGTGTCGTGGTCTCACAGGTGTCGTGGTCTCGCAGGTGTCGTGGTCTCGCAGGTGTCGTGGTCTCCCAGGTGTCGTGGTCTCGCAGGTGTCGTGGTCTCGCAGGTGTCGTGGTCTCGCAGGTGTCGTGGTCTCGCAGGTGTCGTGGTCTCGCAGGTGTCGTGGTCTCACAGGTGTCGTGGTCTCGCAGGTGTCGTGGTCTCACAGGTGTCGTGGTCTCGCAGGTGTCGTGGTCTCGCAGGTGTCGTGGTCTCGCAGGTGTCGTGGTCTCACAGGTGTCGTGGTCTCGCAGGTGTCGTGGTCTCACAGGTGTCGTGGTCTCACAGGTGTCGTGGTCTCACAGGTGTCGTGGTCTCGCAGGTGTCGTGGTCTCGCAGGTGTCGTGGTCTCACAGGTGTCGTGGTCTCACAGGTGTCGTGGTCTCACAGGTGTCGTGGTGTCTCAGAACAGGGACCCTGCCTCACGAGTATGGTGTCTCAGAACAGGGACCCTGCCTCACGAGTATGGTGTCTCAGAACAGGGACCCTGCCTCACGAGTATGGTGTCTCAGAACAGGGACCCTGCCTCACGAGTATGGTGTCTCAGAACAGGGACCCTGCCTCACGAGTATGGTGTCTCAGAACAGGGACCCTGCCTCACGAGTATGGTGTCTCAGAACAGGGACCCTGCCTCACGAGTATGGTGTCTCAGAACAGGGACCCTGCCTCACGAGTATGGTGTCTCAGAACAGGGACCCTGCCTCACGAGTATGGTGTCTCAGAACAGGGACCCTGCCTCACGAGTATGGTGTCTCAGAACAGGGACCCTGCCTCACGAGTATGGTGTCTCAGAACAGGGACCCTACCTCACGAGTATGGTGTCTCAGAACAGGGACCCTGCCTCACGAGTATGGTGTCTCAGAACAGGGACCCTGCCTCACGAGTATGGTGTCTCAGAACAGGGACCCTACCTCACGAGTATGGTGTCTCAGAACAGGGACCCTACCTCACGAGTATGGTGTCTCAGAACAGGGACCCTGCCTCACGAGTATGGTGTCTCAGAACAGGGACCCTGCCTCACGAGTATGGGCATTTTGAGTCTCACAGGTGTCGCAGCTCGGGGAGCACCCAAAGGCCGCCCGGGATGGATCCGTGCAAGGTGCTGTCGCTCAGATCCCTGGCAGGGAGTGAAGGGAGGGCGCAAGGAAGCAGAACAGGTTATGAAGTCCCGAGGGCACGGAGAGGGGAGAGATGGCTTTGAGTTGAGTTGGCGGTCATCTTGGGACTTATCCGTTCAACGAGCTGTCAATCAGGTCACTGGTAGTCCACGTGAGCAAGATATGGAAACGGGGCATGGGGGCACGGGGCGAGGCCCCGGGGGCAGGGCATGGGACGGGCACAGGCGCAAGGCATGGGACAGGGCATGGATGTGTGTGGGCCACGTGTGTGGACCATGTGTGTGGACCATGTGTGTGGACCATGTGTGTGGACCATGTGTGTGGGCCATGTGTGTGGACCATGTGTGTGGGCTGGCCATGAACTGTAGGGGGGAAAGGCATGCGGGACGGAACTGTGAGGGGAAGTAAAGGCATGGTTCCCAAAAGCAAGGCATTCGAGGCATCTCATCTCATTCTGTGTGTGTCTATCCACCAACGGCCAAGGCTCTCACACGCCCTCAAGCGCTCACACACGTTTTGCCCTGCCCATCCACCTTTGTGTCGACTTTTGAGTCGACTCAAAGGTCAGCCTGCTATCCAACCTTGCCATGCTCGCAGAAAGCCTGTTTCCCTCAGAACCTCTCTCAAACTCCTGACCTTCCGCACTTTCTCGATTCACAAAGTCTCGAGCCTCTCAGATCTATCGTGCTTCCAATCCAACTCCCGAGCCTCTCAAGCCTCTCATGTCTCTCAAGCTTCCATCTCTCAAGCCTCCCAAGCCGCCGACTCACAGGCGCCTGAGCTGCGTCAGCAGGCTGAGAAACAACGGCGTTGTGCCCCATAGGCTGTTGTGACTCAGATCGCTGGAGAAGGAAGGGGGAGAGGAGCGCGGGAGAGGAAAGGATGAGACAGTGGGAGAAAGAGGGCGCAGAAAGAGTGGGGGGTATGGTGTGAGAGGCGGATGGAGGGAGATGGAGTGTATGGGGTACGGAGAGCAGGAGGAGAGCGCAGGAGGGAAGGCTGGGAGGGAGGAAGACGGGTAGATGGGAGAGGGGAGGCTATGAAACAGAGGACGGCGGAAGGGAAGAGAGGAAAGCAGGGAGGAGGAGAGGTAGGGAGCTGATGGAAGGAGGGAGAGAGTGGGGTCTTACAGGAGAGAGAGGGAGGTGAGGGCACTGAATGTGGAGGGGATGGAGCCACTTAGAGAGCAGTTCGCGAGGTTGCTGTTTTGGGACGAAACGCAGGGCATGGAGCAGAGAAGAAAGGGGATTAATGGAGGACAAACGAGAATGGAAAGGGGACAGGGCGCAACAGCTTGAAACTCTAGACGGCAGATGAGCGGTCATTATTGGGGAGGGACGATAGGTCCCTCAAGAGTTTAAAGTGTGCTAGTGGTGACGCTTACAGGAGAGTGAGGGTGGTGAGATTGCCAATCTCCCTGGGAATGCTGCCATTCAACAGTGTGTTGCTCAGGTCACTGCTCATGAGGTACATGCCCCCGACATGGCATACCATGGCAAGGCATGGCACAACAAGCCATGCCGCACGTGTCATGCCCATATGACATAACATCAAGTATCGCATGTGTTGTGTCTCAGTGAACAAACAAGAAAGCGTTCTTTAATGAGGCATGGTGAACACAACATGACAAAACGCTAACAGGGGAACATCACTACGCATGTCCTGGGATCCTTGCACATGGCGATGGGTCCGGTTGCCGTAGATGGAAACCTGCAGCTGACCATGGCAAGTCACCATGTCACTACCAATTGCCACCGCCGTGCCTCACATTGCCACCACCATGCCTCACATTGCCACCACCATGCCTCACATTGCCACCACCGTGCCTCACATTGCCACCACCGTGACTCACATTGCCACCACCGTGCCTCACATTGCCACCACCGTGCCTCACATTGCTACCACCGTGCCTCACATTGCCACCACCATGCCTCACATTGCCACCACCGTGCCTAACATTGCCACCACCGTGCCTCGCATTGCCACCACCATGCCTCACATTGCCACCACCGTGCCTCACATTGCCACCACCGTGCCTCACATTGCCACTACCGTGTCTCACATTGCCACCACCGTGCCATTGCTGTCACAAGTCACCCCTTGCACTTGGCTGCAGTCCGCCCCTCCACTCCACCCTGTGGGCGCCACTCCCCATGCCCCCGCGCTGCCCGCTAGTGCTTGTGCTGCTGGAAGAGAGGGACGAAGGGAGGAGCACGGCACACACGGCGACACAAGTGAGTGTGGGACCAGGAGGGGAGGTGGGGAAAAGCAGCACCCCAGGCCGCAAGGTGATTGGTCAAGAGCATTCTAGTCTTGGATCTTCAGAAACGGCTGGGAAGTTGGAATAGCAGAACTGGAGGAGACTTGGGAGGATAGCATTTGTTTGGCATGGCGAGAGAGGAGCTAATTAGCATGGGAAAGAGCAGCTGCTTAGCATGGGAGGAAGAACCAGAGAGTTCATGATGCGAGCATGGATGCATGGCATGCGTGACGTGTGCATGGATGGATGCATGGAGATACCACTGTGAGTTAGAAAAGTGCGTAGTATTGCTCCGTGCTCACACATCTCATCTCATGCCATCACGCATCCCATGACTGTCAGTACAGCGCATCACATTGCATCCCATCCCATTTCCTCCATCAGTCCATCCTCACCCGATACCTTGCGGCGCATCCCATCCCAACACTTCCATCCGATCCCATCTTTTCCATTCCATATCATCAAACTCTTTCCATCACGTCTCATCCTTTCCATATGATCCAGTCCTCCTTCCCATCCCGTCCTTTCCATCCCATTCCATCCTTTCCATCATCCCTTCCTCTCCTTCCCATCCCATCCATCCATCCCGACCCATGTTTTCCATTCCATCCCTTCCGTCCCTCCCATCTGATCCTTTCCATATCATCCATTCCAACCTTTCCATCCTAGCCCATCCCATCTTTTCCATACAATCCTCCCTTCCATATCATCCAATCGTTCCATCCCATCCGATCCTTCCATCATTTTTCCGTCCAACTCCATCCCATCCTACCATTTCCGCCCCATCCCATCTTTTGCATCCCATCCTTCCATCCCATCCTTTCCGTTCCCATTCCATCACTTCCATCACATCCCTCCTTCCATCCCATCCCATCTTTCCATCCCATCCTTTTCATCCTTTCCTTCCATCCCATCCTTCTATCCTTTCCTTTGCATCCCATTCCATCCTTCCCGTCCCATTCCATCCTTCCATCCCATCCTTTCCATGTAACCCTCCGCCTCATGGAAAGGCTTCAAGCAACCTGCAATGCCATGGTACCCCCTTGCATCCGCTTCCGGCTTTCGCCTTTTTCCATCTCACCGTCTTCGTACCCCCTCCTACAATTGAGTCACCTTGTACTGTGTCTATCCGTGCAACAGGTTGTGCAGTGTGCACGGGGAGGCTCGATGCGAGGATCGTCGCGAAAAGAAGAAAAAACATCGCTTGAAAGCAGCACGTCGCGCGTCTATCGATGCAACGGCTTCCGTTTGAGAGTAGCGCGCCGAACCCCAGCGGCCTTCGCTTAATTTTTTGGCTCGGTTTTCGTTTTGCGACGAAGAATAGGAAAGACTACTCGAATGATTCCCGTATTGGAAGGGAATTTGGGGCTGAAGTGGAACTTTATTTTGCTTCTGCTCGCTCGCTGGTATCGCGCCGCGAGATTCTCGTACCCGCGCTACGCGGAAGAGGGGAAATGGTCGCGTGGGGCTAGTACGACTACGAGTGAGCTCAAAGGAAGGTAAAGAGGTACAACGAGGTTCAATGTATAGCAGTTTCTAAAAGCATTGCGTAAGGACAGTACTATTGCACTGTAAGCGTAGGAAGATGGATAGTGGAAGATGGACTATTGCGTGTTGTTGTGGATTTCCTCTGGGAATTAGTGGAAGGATAGGTTGCAAATACGAGACAAGTGGCGTGCAATGCAAGTGCAAGGGCTTGCTGTTGTTGAGGTGGGGAGGGGGCTGAAATCGAAAGACGGCGCGAAGGTTAGACGAAGTACATACGATGGTTTCGCAGATGGCTCGCTTGGAAATCTTCGGGTGGGTCCAGTGTTCGTTTTCAGTTCATCCGTCGTTGCGCAAGACGATTCCAAACGGTGCACAACGGTTATTTGACCTCACCGTTTCGCACCGTGCCGCAACAAGAGTAACCGCACAGAACGAACGAAGGACGAACGTGCTGGACCCGCCCGCTGAACGAATTTCCTCTCAGTCGCCCGTCACAAATGACACATCTCGCTGACGATTATTGGTGCGGATTGTTAAACAAGAAGCGTTACCACGTGAACATCCAGGTTATCAAGAGAGTTCGCTTCACTTCCCTTGCTTCTCACGTGAATAATTGGACCCAAGATCGATTGCCGTGGAAGACGCTGGAAACAGATTCACATGTGGGAGAGCATGTAACGCGTTTGCATCGCAGGTAGCCGTTGGATTTGTGCGCACTTCAATCCTCTAGTCTGGGGAGACTCTCGCGCTCACCACACCAAATTCTCGGGTTTTTAGCTACGCCAGAAGAGGTGTACTTTCGACCCTGCGCTTTCCACTGACCTTCATCTCTACCTGCGCAGAGATTCCTAGGTTTCGACGCCCATGCAGAAGACTTATGGGGCTGAGACAGAACTCGGCTCCACGTTTAACCACGTTTCAGTCATTGCACATCCCAACTACTGCTGCTGCACACAGAGAAACAGTGCACAACCGCTTTTGTTATTTTCTGCCGAGCCAAAACCACGTTCTGGCTGGCTCAGCAGCTCACTGTTTCAAAATCTGGGGATGTGCACTGTCGCGCCAGTAAATCTGTTTCATCCCCGGATTTTTGGGTAATATATTGCACTGACGCAGGCAGTGCAATGAGTCAGAGAGCAAAAAAAAAAAAAAAAAAAGCGGTTGAGGGAGTGCCATCCGAGGGAGTGCCATCCGAGGGAGCCTCAACCCTAAAATTTTTGGGTTGAGGCTCCCCGAATGGCATGCAGTCCGAATGGGTTTTAGATTTTCTGCCCGGGGGCAGAATGCTGACTTACCTTGTAGCGTCGTTTAGCGAAACGGTAGCGCTACCGAGCGCTATCGACGCTACCGAGTGAGGTATTGAAACAGTGAGCTACCGAGCCATCCAGAACGTGGTTTTTACTCGGCAGAAAATAACAAAAGCGGTTGTGCACTGTTTCTCTGCGTAAATCAGCAGTAGTTGGGATGTGCAATGACTGACACGTGGTTAAACGTGGAGCTGAGTTTTGTCTCAGCCCCATAAGTCTTCTGCATGGGCGTCGAAACCTGGGACACTCTGTGCAGGTGGAGATGAAGATCAATGAAAAGAGCAGGATCGAAAGTGTGAAAGTTTAGAAGAAAGAAGAGGACTGCACTAGCAAGAATGGGGATACAAAAAGGAAAACCCTAGAAGGGTTGTACTCGCTATAGAGCACCCCACTACAGGCTAGAGCATAAGATAACATTCTGACACATCCCCATAGCCAAAGTGGGGTGTAATCAGCAGAGCAAGCAAAGCAGTACAAGCTCAGGGTGGATCACAATGTCACCACACATTCTGAGCACAAGTTCAAGAAACAATAGTTTAAAGTTAACAATTATGAGCAAAGCTAGTGGTAGTCACAACGGGCAAGTGAGGAGGAGGAGAGAGAGTGAGAGGAGAGGAGATAGGAGGCGACGGATGAAGCTGCAGACACACGGGCAACAGGAGGCACACTGGCACAGCGGCTACCGGAACAACGCTCCGGAATACTGGAGTAACTGGCCCCGCGGCTAAAGTAGCGGCAGCCGAGCAACGGACCCACGGGCGGCTGGCACAGCTGGCTACGACTGGGCTGCCGGACGAAGTCCCCGGAATACAGGTGCTGCTGGCAACACGACGGCAACCTCCATTCAGCTTCCCCAAACGATCCCACTCCCCCTGACACACACCCGCTGCTACACCCCTAGCTCCACTCTCACCCCACCCCCTAGCACCACTCCGTCGAATCCCACACACCCACCCCCCTCAGCGGT